GGTTTTCCGCCCCAACCTTTCGCAAAATCCACACCGCCAACCTCCGCTGTCCATTATTCACTGTGAGGACTCAAAGATTGGAAAAGGTGTTGATATCAGTTTTCCCCCAGAAGAAAAGGAGCATTTCATTTCAGCGTTCTTTGTGTCCAGCTGGGTCCCAGCCCAGCTCCTTTTATTCCGGAGAGAGGGCTGACCTACATGCCGCACTGGAAAAGACACATTCACGCTGGCTTGTGAAATTTAGGTGAAACTTAAATCAGAACTTGACTGTCTGGTTGTACGTGCAATGATACAGTCCTTCTAGTGCTTTTAATTTGGTAACACCCTCAAGTGGGACCACAACATTTAAAACTGATAAAAAAAACTATTCAGTACACTCACATCTGTAGTATAAGCTTACAGCAGGAAACCTGTTTGAAAGGTATAAGCACGTGTACAGTAGACAAACCCGACATGTGAGGGAGGCAGCCCGCCAGTTTATCGGCCTGTCAATCTAGCCCACCTCTTGCATTTTTAAACCATTCATTCATTCAGACAGCCCTTCATGAGCTGAATGCAGACAGTCATACAGGAGTGTGTGGGAAGGTTTCATTTTCAGCATTACATTCCTTAAAAAATATGACATTCTTTACTTGTGTCAGCCTGAAATATAATGGATTGGCTAAATAAAGTCTGGAAAATACTTCTTTTTTTTTTTACATTTTATTTTTGGCTTTTCAGTTATGTTGTAGATTTCTGCACCCAGGAAGAAACCTTTTATTTGTTTCTGTTGGCCCACAAATTTAAAGGCCTCTTTAAAAATGTGTTTGGCTTATAGTCACTTTGTTTGACCTTGACTGCAGAATGATGTATGCAGAGTTTGACACTAGAAGCCTGTTTTCGCATTCTTCTGCTGAAGTGAAGCTTGAAAGACATTTTGCATCCAACTTTTGAGAATGAAAATATTTGCATATTCATAGATTATGGATTTTCAAGTCGGGGAGAATGACTAGATGTAATGTTAAGATTATATAAACTGAACTTCTTTTGAGGCAAAAAACACATTTTGTAGTATTTTTAAGATGTTATAAAACATGTCTTAAAGGGATTTTTAATTTTAAACTGAGACTAATGAAATGCTGGAATTACCCTGTGGGTGCTTTTAACTTGTAGAATCTAATCTCCCAAAAGCCTAAAATATGCCCTCAATGTCCATTGTAGGGTCTTTTAGTGATATCTGTCCGTTCATATCCCAAACCCCATATGGAAACCGTGTGGTGGGTTCAGAAAAAGTGGGCTATTTTTTGACAAATAGGATGAGGCTTTGGTTCCATTCGGTCAAATGGCAAAAGAAGCCAGTTCTTAAATGTCCCATTTCTGCTGAACACACCCTACAATTACTAAAGATGTGATTTCTTTGTAAGGAAAGGGCCCCTAAACTTAACTGGAGCAGCAATATTATACAGACATTAGCTTATAGCACATCTACTGGAGACATGCTACAGGTTATAGTATTACAGAGCGCCGTGTTCTACAGTTCACCCGGTTCCAGCCGACCGGTGACCGGTAACGTCGCCCCCGCACACCCCGCACACCCCGCACGCACCCCTTCACCGACCCGTAATGAGGATGACAAGTTGTTTTTGAGAGCGCGCGTGTGACTGCTGGCTTGGCGCGTGGCTCCATGACCAGCAACGGTGTGTTTCCAGAGAGCGCTCGCGCTTTCTAACGTAAAGACCCCCAGAACGTCAATCACAGGCACTTCCGGTCATCACTTTCAAAATAACAAAAAAAGAAAATCTGTAATATACGCTTGGAAACATCTTTCCATGTTCCACACACTTCATGTAATGTTCACAATAGACTTACTTACGTACTAAATAAGTTTAACAATTAGACCTAATCTACTGCCTATATATTAAGGCCAATGTTAAATTTAAAAAGCACATTGTAAAAGAGGCTAAAAGACTAAAAACAATGCCTCTACATTGTCCTTAAATAACACAAGATGAAACTGATGCGTCAGGAAAGACATTTAGCCACGTAGCAGCCGGTGTATTTAAAAGCAAATAAGCCTAGATCATACAGATAATGTGGCTGATATGTCTATAATTTTTTCTAGAGTTTAAATACATTTTTAAGAGAAAAAGATTTTTTTTCTTAAATAATTTGGATTAAATTAAATTGACCACTTGATGGCAGCAACAAGTAGTAAAATAAAGGAAGAATAAGACGCTATGAAAACCAATGCAGTAAATAGTCATACTATAAAGGTTATATATTGTCTGTAAAGTGAGTGAATGCATGTAATCAGTTTGACAAACACAAACCCTTCAAGCTTCAACTTTGAAAGCCACACCGCCCTGTTTCCGGTGTTGCTCCTGGTTACTGTCGCTAGTTTCACGCAGCTGGAGCGGCTCGCGGCTGCACGCGCGCCTCGCGCTCCTGTCAGCGGTATACAAACAGGACGTTTTCAGAGGAGAGGACACAACTGCTTTCTGCTGCATTATTCTCCTTCTCAGAGCTTTGTGTTTGTCTCGCCTGTTGACCATGGGAACACAAGCTGACAAACGGGGTCCGGTAAAATCGGTGGCAGGAGCCGTTCAGTGACAGCTGCTGTAATCTGACTGACAGACAGACCGGTGAAACGTGACGGACAGGTAAACCGCTGTACGTTTCAAATCCATGGCCGGGGGGAGAGCGACAACAGAAAATATGCTGTAACGTGAAGTGTTTATTTCGGACTTTACCGCGTTGTGGCTGAAGTATGGGGCCGTGATAGCCGGTAAAGCGGAGACTGGAGGTTGGTGTCTGGTTTTGTCTGCGCTCCGTCCCCTCCGGTGGACACAACTAAAGAGACTGGAGACACGGACGGAGACGGGGCTGTTTTTGTGTCGGCGGAGACATGGCAGCGGCTATCGCCAGCGGTTTGATCCGCCAGAAGCGACAGGCGAGAGAGCAACACGCCCACCGACCGACCACTCACCGGCGGCGGAAGAGCCCCGGTAAGAAACAGGGGCTGTGCAACGGGAACCTGGTCGACATCTTCTCCAAAGTCCGGATATTTGGCCTGAAGAAGAGGAGGCTACGGAGACAAGGTGTGCGGGGAAACGGGGGGGGGGGGG